TTTTATTTATTTGCATATGTATTTACTCGTTTTTCCTAGAAAATGACACGTCTTTCATCAGCTCAGGTGCCCTTTGACCTTTGGAGGACAGAAACTCACCGTCACCTTTCTTTCAAAGATCTGCACATCTGCCCGAGACCTTCACCACAAGACAGTCTCGCATTACACAAAGCGAGAGGGTTCCCGTGCACCACTGACAACCTGCGCTTTGATCCATTTTCTTAAAGTGGTGTTTACACACACAGCCTTTGTCAGCCTTGTGCCTCACATCTCGTGTTCATTATTTTCAGTCAGACACAACAAACCACAACACTGTAGAGGTCACAGCTTGCTGAGTCCTAAAGCTCACCATCACCAGGACATAGTAGATAGTGTCACAAACCTGGCCTTTCTCAAAGCATGGGCTTTTATATTTTCATATCCAGTGTCTGACTATCCACACCTTCCAGGGCCACAAATTTATTGTACTTTTTGGCACCTTTTTCCAAAGTACTCTGCTCTTAGTGCGGACAAGCAAAGCAAACAGGCAGAATGAGGCAAGTTAAAGAAAACTGCTTTGACAGTGTTCAAACCACTTGAGAGGACCTGCAGGGACAGGGGGCAGGACATTGTTTGGGCTGTATGTATGTTTGGGGTTTTTAAAGTGGCTGGATGGACCAGTTCTATGAGTCAGCCACAAGCCTACAGTTACATTCGCACGCCGACACGCAGCCTTCCTGAATGACAGTCATTCCATTTGCCGCATGACCACGATTCTAGTTTGTTTCTTGGTCATTATGATGATTACCTACTTGATGTTATACACCATTCAAGCTCTTCATACTTTATATCATAATTTTACTAATAGAAATCCTTAATGCTAATACTCCTCTATTATTTACCAGCAGAACAGGAGTCATCCATAGGGATCAGATAGAATTAAAAGGAAAATCATCATAATAGTACAACCCTACATTATCTCTGTTCCTCTCCTCATCAAAAGGAAAGGGACTATAGACTGTAACTATGGTTTTGACACCGTTTTGCCTCATTTTCTTGCAACAACGTTGTGTAAGGGTTCAAAATGCATCGGAGGGTGTGTGAGTCAGGCAGCGAGCAGGCACCCTGCATGCCAGTAAGACCGACTGACTGGCAGGCTGACTATCCTGGTTAAACAAACAGTGTCACACGTACTGACTGATGAACCACTAGCACATTATCTGTTTGCTCGTTTGCTCGTGCATCTGTTGGTTTGAATCATATTTGCACTGTTTAAACGTTTTTATTTAAACATGCTGGTTACCTTTACTGACATTCTACACCAGATTCCAAGAAGATACATTTGTTTTAACAGGGAGCTCTTCACACTGCTCACAGGTGGCATGTGCATGTTTCTAAAATCTTGCTCTTTGCAGTTTTTTTCTCTCAGGTTTGTTCATGACAGGAGAAAGACTAAAAGTATGTCTCCCCCACTTGCCAAAGGCCTCGTTCAGAGGGTTCATTAGGCTGGAGAAGGCTCACAGCTGCTGTGTTAATCAGTGATTCTGACAGCGAACTATCAGCTGGTTTGGTTTAATAGATGTATCTCAATATTAGACACTCATAGAGCATATGGGTTGACTGTGTGCAGATGTTTAAGGCCAGGGCACACACGTCTAAAAATATCAGCTGCTGTTTAATTTGTAGTTTTTTTTATTTATTTTAATCATCCATGTTGTTGAGCGAGTGACAAATTGAGACCTGCTCATATCATCAATGCCATTAAACAATGTGAAGGTATTATTAAATATGGCAGCAGTTGTTGTTTTTTTTTTGTAGCAAAACCTTCATTTAAAGGCAGACAGTGTACCTGTTTTTCAGGCCCCCAACCCCGCACCGCCTCCTTCTCTATGACTTACTGTTTAAGATTGTTCTTGTCGCTATGCCCTGCAGCTTTCTTTCTTAAGAAAAAAAAAAAAAAACCTCAGACATGTGCCACACACACAAGATAAATGTGAGCTGAAGATCTCTGGTGCTGATTACAATGTCACAAAGGAATTTATTGTGAAACTGCTGCCTGTGTTGGTCCCACGCCAGCACTGGGGGGGAAGTTTGCTGGCAAGCCAGGAGTCAGGCGGTGCAGTTTACTCCACCGCCACCAAACATACCTTTTGACCGCAGCTTGAGGTACCCCCCTTAGTGTAACCTTTTGAACCAAAATATTGTCTTGTGTATTAAAAAGTGTTCGTTCAGCTACTCAGAACACATTTAATATAATAGATTCCGTCAATGGTTTTCATTCTCCACAATATTAGGGAAGAAAATTCATTTATTTTAATAAATGATTCAAACCGTAGCTGTCAGTTCATCAGATAAATGACAGAAAATGTGAGCCCCGTTGTTATAGTTTTTACCTGCCTTTATTGCCTGTGCCAACATCTGGCGGAACAGGTGAGCCTGCCTTCCTGTGGGGTGTAAAGACCTCAGTCAGCAACAATCCATTACGGTGTCATTGCTGGCTTTTTACAGTTTGCCTCCAGCAGGTGTGTGCACGGCCTGAAGCTTCCCTAACGTTAGCCCAAACAAGATGAGGCAGAAGGGAAGCAAGGCAAGTGGACGGATAAACATATGAGCCTACGTTTGTCAAAAAACGTTTACACCTGAAGAATTCAGCTCTGTAGTTTAAATTTTTAAAAGCAGACCATCAAAACGGCATAAAAATTCAGTTTTTCTTCGAATGATCTGCTAATTTTGTCAGATTTTCACAAGAGAAACTTGTTGATAACCACTGAAAGAAACTCATTTAAGTTTCTAAAAGCACTGCAAAGATTTTGCAAGATGATCCAAAATATATTTGATTTGGACCTAAACCATATAAAACCATCACTGTGGTCCTTTAAGAATTGCTTCATGCTGGCAAAATATTTAAGCCTGTTCACCAGATAAAGCGAGATAGAGCCCCTTTGTTCAGTTATTGACCCAGATCCTTCAGTACACATGATGTGTTTGTCACACTTTCAAGGCAGAAGAAATAAATGATGCTTTGTTGGCAGCAAATTGTATTTCGTCTTGAGGAAGAGCAAATAGTTTGCTCTAGTTGTCGTATATTTCTTCAACTGAGTGAAGCAGATTCTTGAGTCATACCACGAGCGGTGTGTACACCTATATGTTTGCTCACACATGTGTGGTCTGCCTTAATACTCCGCTGTCGATAAGTTTGTACAAGCGTGCCGTAGAGCCACAGTATGCAAATATCTTGGAACACCCTTGTTTGCTCTATCATGTTTACTTTGAGGTTGAAATATTAACATTATTAACTGACAATTATTCACTGATGCTTTGCTGTGTGGGACATCAATAAGAAGTGTTTTGCTTAAAACTAGATTTCTCTAGGATTCAATCTCATCGGGTGTTTACATTTATTAATGTCACGCTGCAAATTATCAGACATCTGGAAAAATATGTTTTAAAGATGCACAGAGCGTAAGAGTGTGCTGCGATTCAAGGAAGTCTCTGCAAGCTTTGATGCCGAAGCTCTTCAAGCAGAGGCTCAGTGTTGACACTGAAGCATCGCAAATAATTTACAGCAGAAATGCCTCGCACAAAATCTGAGGAATGTGGGCACGAGTTTCAGCTGAAAATCAATAACAGGGAAACTTCACGGCTCCATTTTTTGTTGTTGTCGTTTTTACTGCGGAGGGCAGGACTCAGACAGAAGAAGTAGACAAGAAGAAGGCAATTAGCAAGATGTGTGTCCAGAGGCTCGCAGTAACTGTTGGTGTGTGTGTTTGTCTCTACAAGTCCACACCATCCCTGTCACAGCTCATTGACAACTAACGCATCTTAGAGTCAGGATGAAGGCTCAGGTGGTCGGTGGGGCGGGGGCATGTAAAGTTGAACAGAGGATCAATCATGAAACGACAGCAAACTACCAAAAACATGGGACGGTTTGTTTACTTTTTTTTTCTTTTTTTTACAAAAATTACATCTCTTAGAGCAAATATTAAAGAAATTTAGCTTTTTTTTTTTTTTTATTCTTTTTGAAAGACTTGCACACTGGATCCAAGCGAAGTCAAACCATGTTCAAACATTCAAGTAAAATAATACTGTGCGAGTACTGTTACTACTAAAATTTAAGGTCTAGCAAACACATTGCATGCTACATTTCATGCTGCAATTTTAAACGAACACCATTGTATGATGGGGAGGAAGAAGGAATGGATTTGTAGCTGTTTTGGTCAAATCTTACGCAATCTCACGAGATAATAAAATGTTTTGTTTGATCTGTAGCACTTCATGTCTGTTTCAGGGAGAATTCTCCACAACTAGCACAATATTTTATCTTAGTATCTGTAAAGTTGACTGAGTTGTAGCCATTTTTGTATTATATGCCAGCCATCTTGAATGGGGCTGACTCGAAAAGATAACCAGAGGCATGTCCAGTGCTTACATTCTGTGAGTTTCATTCAATTCTGTCTCCAGGTTTATGAGCTACTTATAGTGCTACAGACAAACAAACACACGTTGACATGTGCAAAAGCATTTTGCAGCTTGATCAAATCCCTGACTGGTTACATACGTTAATCATTCTGCAGCTTCAAACATCAACCTTAAATGAATTTGATTGAATGAAGGCATTTCAGGAACTTCCTCAAGTGCCTCTGTTTGTTTTTTCTCGTTGTCTGAAACTCTCTGCAGCATCTCTGTATCACTGTGATGATATTAAAAGAGCTGCTCTTGTTTTTTCTGCCTGTGTTAACAGCCTCAGACTCAAGTGAAGAGACAACATGTTGGAGTCAGCACAATAAAAACTGTCAAACAAATACTTTAGGAGCCTATTGTAACTATTTAAAAAGTGCATGAATATGCTGCTTTAGAAATGTTACATTATTTACACCATTTGCTTTTTATTCCAGATTAAAATACAGATTATTACTAATGTTAACTGTATGTTTGTATTAAAAGGACTGGCCACATTTTACTTGAATTAACAGATTAGTTATGAACTTGTCAGTTTTTATTTACAGTAACGTTCCACTCACCCTAGCAAGATGCTTCCTAATCCACTCCTGCTCTTCTCTTCCTCTTCAGGTATTTTTATACTGGAAAAAAACACAACAACACAACATCTATTAATCAAATAATTTCCACCGTACTCCCCATTCCTTTTAGCTGGATATCAGCCATGCATTCATGCACTGCTAATGCCCCAGAAGCTAAACAGGAAGTGTTTTTCCTGTTAATTGGGCAGATTCCAGCTGTGTGCAGGAGCATGCTGTGCCCCGTCCGTCCGTGTAGCAACGCAACAGGACGACGAGCACAGGGGGTGGGAAATGCAGGTCGACCGCTCTCCACTCTGTCAGCTTCTTGTCTTGTTGCTATCAGCCAATCAGACGAAGGTTAACAATGTGTATGTGTCGACTGCAAGGCAGTTTATAGTTTTGTTTTTATAGCCGAGTGTCTGGAAGGAGCTGAAAGATTCATGTAGTTTTTACTGGTTAATCTTATTCGCGTTCACATATTTAAAATACAAGGACACTTAAATGTTGTCATCACAACAGGGCCCTCATTCAGTACTTTATTATTTATTTGTTTATCTCCATGACCTTACTAATAGTACAAAACTAATCTCACATGCTTTTCTTAATTCAACGTGGTTAACAAATCGTAAAATAACTCAATTCCAGGCAATATGAAACACAAAGTGACCACATGATGGATATTTTGTAAGTGGAAGATGTTTTGCTTTAAGCAGCACCCACAAAAGCAGACGATTATGTTTCTGCCGGTGTGTGTGTGTCTGTCATCAAAATATGTCATGGTCAAATTTTGATGAAACTTGCAGACATTAATCACTGACTACACATCCTCAACTAACTTTTGATTAACTTTTGAAGTCAACTCAGTTAAAGATGGCTGCCACAGCTAAGCAAACTTAGCAAATACAAAAGTGACTATAATTCAATTTATTTTTATAGATATTGACTGATTAGGCTCATTATTAAACACTGTTTTCATAAAGTAGGTACATAAGCTGAGTAATACACTTTGTATGCAGAAACAAAAAAGGAAGACTCCAGCTACTACATCATAAAACACCTGAAAACTTACTTCGCATGACTTGCTTTGGCACTACATTTACATCTGTTTACCTCTTTCCTCAAAGGCCCTTCGTTACCCTGCGTTCAAGCCATCAGCACGCTCTGCAGCAATCTGTTATTTTTCTCTGGAGCAATGCTGCACAGAAGCTTCATTACTTTTGTGCATGCTTATTTGCATAGACTTCACCATCCATACAGGTAAACATAACAATGACCATTGATAATTGGTGAAGTGTGCATGTTGTGCGCTGCTAAATTTGAGAGCACGTGCACTGACCCTGCTGTAGTCAGGTTTTCTAGGTCACTGCCTCTCAAACAACCCCTTGACTGAAGTTTAAATATTTAATTTGCAAAACATTTACAGGTTTTTGTTTTTTTGTTTTTTACAGCACTACTCTTTATTTTGTCCTTCCTTGTGTCATTTCCTTTTTCCTTGTCAGTTCAAACTCGGCTTGCTGAAGAACGTTGAGATCAACAAAGAGCAGCTTTTAGTTTTGCTACATGGTTGATGTCATGAGGTTTCTTGTTGCTTGAGCTTGTACCAGTTACAAGCCACGGCTTGTGGTGCTGTCACAGCCGCTCGTCTGCTGATTGCAGCATTGAGTGATTAGGATTCAGCTTGATCCCCGGTGGCATTCATGTGCACACATACATGCACTGATTTTCACTCTGAAGCTGCGTCTGTCTTCTTTAACTCTGAGTACGACAGCTGATTGCACTATCTGCGTTGCCTGAGATAAAAAGGATGTTAAAACAAAACGGGAAAGAGACGAGGAAGATTGATGCAACGAAATAAAGCAGCTGTGAAGGTCAGCCTACCTGAAGGTGTGAAAGTGAAATAATGCTGCTTCCTGTGACGTCAAAGGTTTTGGACACAATCGTTTGACTATGTTTTAACGACCAATTTGAGGACAAAGTTGTCTTTTCTAATTCTGGATTTGATCAAACAGTGCGTGTGTGCGTGTGCCCTTGCTTTGCTCATGCCCGGTTAGATCTAGTTCAAGGCTCATCTCCTAATTACAGTGCAGGCCAGAAGTAATTACAACCTTAAATTAAGAGTCATTTTTCTTTTTTTAACAGACCCACTGAAATGCAGCAATTTGTGGTGTTTTAGTGAACGGAACATCCTCCTCCTGCCTCTGTCTCATTACTTCACAAGAATTTGGGGGATTTTTTTAAGATCTGTGCAGATTTTCCTTTTGGCCTGAATGGGTCAAATTATAGTCAGATGTAAAACATTAACGTAAAGCTACTTGATGCAAAGTATGAAATGAGAAAATAAAAAAAAGTTACCCTGAACAGCTAACAATGCAGTTTGAAATGGTCCAGTAGTTTTCCATTTATATGGAATGCAGGTACGCACTCGATGTAAACAAAGCACTCCAACACTTCCATGTGGAAGCACGAGTAGCATGTTTAACTTACATTCGGCTGGCAGCAGTCTGTGGTGGTAAGCAGTTATGGTGGAATTGGACGGGCGAGGAATCTCAGACGTTTGGATGGAAATATGAGTGACGACCAAACACATGCAGCTTTTGCAAAACTTCTTCTAGACCAGTAAGTTTATTGTTTCACTCTAACATAGTTTTATCTGTGTACTTCACTAAACAAATATGATCGTGTGTATCCGTACATCATAACTGGCCGACTTCTCGATCTGCATTTTCATAAACGTTGTCACTGTTCATCTGTTTTAAGTCACTTCTGTTTTTGTAGGTAAACAAACAAACGTGGTAGTTGGCGTCGCTTCACAAATATTGTGCTTACGTTTGTCATTTAAAGACACGAGCTATCGATGGGAGAAAAAAACCATTGTGCAGATTTAGTTTCTTGCTTTATGACTTTGCAGGGAGTACCTTTAAACCTGTTAAATGTGACTTCAACAAGCACTTAGTTGGGCATTTGGGCTCAAACCAGGCCACTCCGAAGCCCTCAGATTGCCGTGTGTGTGCGCGCGCATGCACATGTGTGTGTTTATGCAAGGTTTTGAAGTGGTTCTTCTGAACGCATCATTTGGCTGCATCGGCAAGCTCTTCTTCAATTTGGCTTGGCAGGCGCACGGGCTGGGGTTTGCCTCCGCATACCGCTGGTTCAGCATTGATGTTCGAGGCCTTTGAAGCTGGAGGTTTTATTCCAGACGCCTCTTATAAGGAGCAGCTCCAGCTTTGAGTTGTCAACCAGAGACGACAACACTCCTCTCTGCTGTGCCACCCTGTAAGGGTTGGGTGGGTGTAAGACAACTTAAAACGTGACACAAGAAAGATTTCTTGATTTCCTCCGTTGTATTAAGGAAAAACACACCAACATGTTTCTGCCCCCTGCTTCCTCAGTGTGCCCCTCTCTTGTCTTCTGTTTCCTACCTTCAACTTCCAATATGTCTCCTCTGCCCACCCCTCCCCAGGCCTCCTCGCCTCAGCACCTGACTTTTAACCCTCTAATCCCTCTGAGTTAGAGGGCTGAATGCTTCAGGCACTCCCTCTAATTGGTGTAAAACTAAGCTCTTCAGAGTCCCTGACAGTTTGAGGAAGAAACATGTGCATTGAAGTCGATTACAACCTCCACAAAGCTGTGCTCAAACTTTATCTTCTAGTTTGAAAACAACAAGTGAAGTATCATAATTGTGGTCTGCAGAAGATTTAGACATCCGTGATCTTTTCCTCCCCAGCTCTTTGGCACAGATATTGAAATGCCAGCCTTGATTTTGTAAAGAACAATAATAGATCAAAGGACACAATGACACAATGTAACCAGCTGTGTGCGGGCGATGTGAGTTCACAACATCACTGCTAACACTGTGTGAGAGCAGGTCTGCGCCTAATTGTTTAAACCAGATGACAGTGGGCTTCTTCTGCTTCTCCTGCTCCCTGACCACACACACACGCCACAAAATAATCCACCCATTGTGCATTACAGTGTGTAATTCCACAAGCACACGTGTTGCGCAGCAAATATTTTGACAAGCTGTGATTTGCATCACTTGTGCTTGAGAGGCAGAAGAAACGTCACTCGTTGTGTTTGTCTGACACATTATCGCCCGCCAGCAAAGGCGAAAATGTTTTAATCCGTGGGGCGGGGGTGGATTAGCATATATTACAAAACGTTTACAGCTATTGTGTACAATAAACATGGTTCAAGGTCTTTGTTTAAAACTGTGACATTAATTGTTGGATTCAGCCTAGTTTTTTTTTTTTTTTTTTGTCTGTTAGCATAATATCCCTTGAAACAATGGAAGGATTAGTAATCACTGGATGACCGTCTACAACTGGAGTCAATCGCCCCAACTGGTCAACTTTAGCCTTCACAGAAAAAATGCTACGACTCGAGCAGTTTTGCAGATATTGAGCTAAAGCGGGATGCGGTAGTAGATGAGAGTTATTCACAACACACACTCTGAGCATCACATTTTGTGATATCGCATGACATTGCACTGTTTTTTTTTTGTTTTGTTTTTTCACGATTTGACAAAAACAGCTACAACGTAAGATGATGGTGTAGATCTTGGGCATGAGTGGGCGATATGTATTCTTCAAGAAGATCCTTAATGTCCACAGAAATCATTCAGCCTCTCACTTTGGCTCTCAGCAGTGAGGAGTGTGTGTCAGCAAGTAACTAACAGTTCGCTGAGAGCAAAACACTAAAGGAAACAAGGAGGAAAAGAACTCTTCTGGCACACTTCTGCATTCCTTATAGCATCAAGCACTCTTTTATGCTGCTGTGTCCATCTGAAGCCTAAAGTTTCTCCACATTAGCGAGGGGTAATTGGCCTCCTGTGGCTGCTCCGTTATGTCTGGTAGCTTAATATATCACCAGAAAGCAACAATTACACGTTGTCAATCACAAACTAGTTTTTTTATGGCATAATGATGGTCTTTGAGGGAGCATATGGTGATAAAACGAGCAGCGCTGCAGTGATGGGTTATTAGCAGGGGTAGTGGAGTAGTTTGGTCTGCATTTTTGCCCCCAGGAAAGTGTTGGTGGCTTGCTGGGAGTGACTGGGAGCCAAAGGAGAAAAGACGAGAGCACTGTAGATTGTTCTTAAGGCATACACAATCATTTGTTAGCCTGGTGGCACTTTAATGCCATCTTTCCTGTTGTCAAATGATATTTGTAACTCTGGTGTGATCAGTTTGCTTGTTTATGTTGGCAAACAGTTTGGAAAGTTAAAAGGAAAGAAAAACAGTTGCGTGTATCTTTACTTTTAGAGAACAGAGGTTTGTCGAAACATGTCATGTCATTTTACACTGGATGTTGCTTAAAAGCCGGCGCAGGTCACTCCGAGATTTAATCTTGCAGGAATTTGACCTCACGGCTCTGTTGCACGCTCACTGGAGGAAACTGACATTTGTCTCTTGTCTGTTTACCTTTTCCTCACGTTGGAGCAACCGCTTCATTCATCTTGCCCCTGCACTGGAACACCCTCAGCTGAGAGCTGCTGCAAGTTCAGAAGCTTTGGAAACTGGTGTATGTTTCCAGTTCTGTTAAAATAATGACATGATCTAATCGGGGCTGTTCTGGTAGCAATCACGTATTTAATGTTGTAGAGTGGCATAAATTATGACTGAAATGCAAAAATGGCATTATAAGAAGTCATGATTAGAGCAGTTTTATTCAGCAGCCTAATTGTTTTTCTTCTGGAAATAGACTTTTTTCTTCACTTTTATTTATTTTTAGCCCTGAAATGATCGACTTTAAACGTCTGACTTGTGATTGTACACATTTAGTGTCCTGTCGGACTTTCTGCTGTGGGACTCTCCCTGTGCGTAAAAACAGCCATCCTCTGCGGTGAGCTGGGATCCGTGCGGTCCAGACACTCGGCTCGCTCCAACACCAGCCGACCTCATTACCGCCCCGACTGCTCCGTTTGCGCAAAGCTTTGCGTTTTTTACGCATTTCTCCAAACTCAGAACGCGCTTTTAATGCCACTTTTTTTTAAAATCCTGACTCAACGACTGACATTAAACGCATTAGCAAACCTCATGCAAGAAAACAATCTGTTTTTTACTCTGCAACAGGTCTTTTAGTTGTGATTCACGTGCGTTAAAACCAGTGCTTTAAAGGCATTCTTTTTTTTTCTTTTTTTTTCAAATAAAAACAGAAACAATGCAGGTCGCCTGAGTTGTTTAAGGTTTTACATTTTCCTCAGAATGATCTTTCAGCTCCTTCAGAAAATGAGTTCGTGATGTTCTATTCAGTTGTTTTAAGCTTCTTAATCCCCACCAGCAGTCAAAACCTGCCCATTGTTTTATTATGATAGTGTTTTGTTAGTAAAAGCAGGAAACTCTTCTTACCCGTCACTTTGAATGTAAAGTTGGGAGCGCAGTCGCGCTTGTGTCCAAGAAGAACCACCCGACGTTACCTCCAAAAACTGGTTAGTTTATCCGCGCGTGGGCTTCAAAAATCTACCTCAAAGTTGGATTTATTTTTTTTTTTTTTTAATGTGTGTGTTAAAGTTATTAAGTCATGCAATCCTCGGAGAGGTACGCCAGCCTCCACGTCAAGGAATGCGCTGAGGCGAAGTGCCGACTCCTTGCACAAAAAGCGCTTTATTGGAGAGCAGAGAGGAGAGATGGGAGGAGCGAGGCGCGCGCGCTCCGACAAACAACTCACCTTGCAGCCCGAGTGCGCAGGAAATTCCAACCTTGTCTCAGTTCACTGCATCTTAATTCCTACCTGCACGACCTGTTTAACGCAATAAACCCTGCAAGTTTCATTTCAACTCCATCCAGACTTGTTGCGCGTTTATTAGATGGAACATCTCTCAGTGTAAAGTGTGCTTCATCAATAGTTGATCAATATTAAAGGCCTGGCATGCCTTGAAGGAATGCATGTCGCCCGCCGCCTTTCATACCCGAGTTTAAGATTAGGATCGATTTATGATGAGAAACGACGGAGCTGTAAAGGTTTAGTGCTGAAACGTTTCTTCTTCGATCCGGAAGGCTTCATCAGTCAAGGAAACACACAACAAAACTGATTCTTCCCCCAACAGCTTACTCCAAAGTGGAACAAACCAGTTCTGCTTGTGATAAGATGGTCTCTTTGGTACGCCCCCTCCTCGATTGCCGGCCTGCTTCCTTGTTGACAGTCTTGTCAAACTGGTTGAAAACAACAAAGTCCATGCTCAATAATCCAGGTGTACAATCCAACATTTGGGGGAAGAATCAGTTTTGTTGTGTGTTTCCTTGACTGATGAAGCCTTCCGGACCGAAGGCGAAACGTTTCAGCACAAAATAAAGAAACTGTCCAGATGACCTGACTGAAAAATGCTGGATTGTATACCTGGATTATTGACCTGGACTTTGTTGTAAAGGTTTTGGTTAAACCTTGAAAAGAACCACATTCACACAGTCCCATGCTGTAATCATAAAAAGTGATTTGAATGACTCTCAAGTACTACCACATCAAATTATAGATTAATATCTGTGAATTTTGCAGAATTGTAGCAGTTTTAAGGTTAACTGATGTCTGTAAATTGTGGTGGCCATCCTGCATCACAGGTATCTGCAACCTGCAGCTCTGGAGCCACATGCGGCTCTTTGGTCCCTCTGCAGCGGCTCTTTCAAGCTTTGACCAAAACCAACATAAAACTGAATTTTATTGGTTGTTATACAAACAACAAAAAAGGACAACCAGTAGTTTTAGAAGTTTTTCTGTCATTTCTTTTGCAAATATATGAATACTGGAACAAATACAAGGAGTAAAACATACCCACTTTAACTTTATGCTTTATGTCTATAACTAATTAATTTTTCCACAATAAAAAAAATCCCTAGGTCTGCATAGTTCATAGTTTTTATTAATTAAAAAAACCCTCTCTTTAAAAGAATCTGGTCTTTTCATTTGTCTTAAATTGTAAAATTATTATTTTATCTTTATGATGTCACCCCTAGTGGCCACAAAAGGCCCCTCTAAAAAACTAAAGTGTCCCATGGGCCACCAGTTGATAACCACAGTTGTAGCAGGTTGTTGCGGCTCTGAACACTTTTAATTTAGTGAACGAAGGCGTAAAATGGCTCTTTTGACCATAAAGGCTACAGACCCCTGCTGTATCAGGTTGGCTTCTAAAGTTAATTAGTTGTCGAGGTACATCCAGTGATTATTTTCTGCAAGTTTCATGAAAATCTATCCTGTGATTCATGAGATATTTTGCTAACAGACGAACCCACACAGACATGGGCAAATTCATTATCACTCTGCTTTAGCCTTTTGTTTGCAAGTGATAAAATGGACACAAAATCAAACAGACAAGTGCAAAAACATGTAATAACCCGTTGTAATGTTGAACTTTATTTAGTTTATTATCTGTTTACTCTTCATCCTGATTCCCTCCGCAGTGCAGTTTACATATGGTTGCTCCATCTTCAGGCTGAGAGCTATCATGCTTCCTAGTGCACTGGCAGCTGTGGGACTATTTCCATGCCAGCCAGTCACTGCAAGGTGCAGTAAGGTGATAGCTGTGGAGAAGTGTGACACTTCCAGTGTGTACTTTTAGCCACATGCCACTAAATTACACCGAGCCCTGCTGCCTCCTCTGCCTCAGAGTTCTTTGTCTCCGTATCTTCCTGCAGGAATTCTCTTTTCACCTTATGTTTGCAAGAAACTGGAAAAATAACCTAATCCATGACTAATTTCTCACTCTGCCCATGACTCCCAAACTCCAACAAGAAAATGATTCAGCACGCAGCTCTCTCTCTCTTTGACCCGCATGTGTCTCCAGAAACCAACCCCCCACCGCCAGAACCCTCAGGACAAGGAGGTCTTTGGTTCCATTTGTTGAGCCACGCTCACTGTCTACATTTTACTTTCTGTGGTTTGTGGTTCACAAATTTCTTGAGCTCACTCCTGCTTCCACACTATTATCCAAATAACACACACACATACACACACCCATCTGCAAGGTATTACAGACAATTACAAGACCAGAGAAATGATTTTACACAAACCCCACAGGGTCCAAATGAACCTCCTCAGTCATCCCTCCTCCTGAGTTGTTCATGTTTACCAGACAGAAAGAAGGAATCTATTTTTTTTAAACTTTTTTTGCATTTTATCACACGCAATCAGGCCTCACAAAGTCAGTGCTTGGCCAATATGGCTAATATTGATCAAACATGAAGGCATTGTTTTTAGTTAAATATATTTTAACAACACATGAATACAATTCTATTTCTGCTGCAAGAAATGAAAGTTTGATGAGGATGAATTAATAAATTAATATATAAAAAAAGTAGTGTTTATGTTGTGGAGCTTAGCATTTTAATATAACCACCTATCGTCCACCAATATTCTGCAACTATATTCCCGTAGTGACTGATAGGTATTAAGTTCCCTAATATTTTGTATAAAAATGTTTCTCATTGTGATGGTTTATAAAGAACTCAAGCTATATGGAGCAAACTATAGCGTCTTGGAAGAAAATATATATTTTTTATTTATTAAATAAAAAAAACTTTCTTGTTATTTAACATATGGTTAAATTTCTCAACTTGTAGAGTCATTTAACAAGATTTAACATTATTTATTGGACAAAATACAAACCATGAACTGTCCTGTTATATATATATTATATAAAGGTTTTTTTTAAGTCGTTCCTCTGCAGTATTCATGCAAAGAAAACTGTGACTGGATTTCCAAGTCATTTTATTAAACAGTTTCTGCTTCACTTGAAGTCCAGAATACATGACTGTTGTTGTAATCTGCTCCAGATATCTGCACTTTTGAGGACAAACAAGGGCATTTGTTCTTCAGTGTAAATCACAGTCCAGTGGCGGTGGTGCCGTCACCGTGTCGGGCTCCTAATCACCATGGTTCTGTAAAAGATGGTGGGGCAGCGTGTCGCACTGCCCAGGAGAACCAATAAAACACTCGTGCTCGGCTGAGCCAACTCCTGCCCACTAAGAGGCATTCTGCCTCACAGAAACGTGTCCAACAGGCATTTTATGGCTTTTAATTAGTTTTCTAAAAAGTCAAAAGTTCTCACTCAAAATAACTTTTAATCTTTTTTATTTACTCCTTCAAATATGTTGATGTGCAAATTTATGCTTAATGAACTCGATTTAGCCATTCTCTCCACTCTCTGGCTTATTATTACTCATTTGTTTCCCTTTATCTTTTCTGACCCTATTTATCTTTTTTGCCTCAATGATTCATAAAAATATTTATAGTTTGTTCGAGCTTTATTGCAAATTTCGATTTGACCAACATTTATGGATCTTGCACGCGTCATAGTGGATATAAGCTTGGCTTGCACAGGATTTATAGTATTGGAATTATGGTGAAAAATCCAGAAACATGCAGAAGAAAGTATATGATAGAGGAGACTGGAAGGCTAAAATATAGTGTTTATCTCCATACAGAAGATGAAATCACACTGTTCAAACCTTTTCTCTGTGTCCTCACCAAGACAAAATGCACTCTACATACATCATAAGTATATTTTAGCTGTCCACGTTTTGCATTTTTTACCATGGAATGAAAAAATGTAGTTTAAGAAGATTTATTATTCATTTTACTCATCTTTAGTGTTTATGGTAAAATAAAAAGCTGTATCCTAATCTGTTTATTCATATAAGTTTTGAAAAGATGAGGATATATAACAAAATAATTTTAACTTTCCGGAGCTTCGTTAAGAAGAGTCCCTGCCACACCAATATATATATATATATATATATTACCAAACACAAAAATGTTTATAACTCACTTTGAAAGACATCAAGCTAAAATTTGATGTAGCTGAGACTCAACCCCAACTTTTACTCTAAATTCTAATTGATTGTGAAAGGTTTGTGTTTAAGATGTTGCCATTACTGGAATCAACTCCGGTAGTTTGTGCCTGAAATATGACATGGAACACTAACAAGTCTTTCAGAAAGTAGTGGGATTGATTACATTTTGGATTTAACCCAAGTCAGTATGGTTGCAAAAGCCAAATGACTTTAGAAATCACAAAGTAACTAAAACTCAATTTAAGTTTTACAGATATGAGCTAAAATTGTGTGTGGTAGTAGCTGAGCCTTGTCACTTACATACTTTGAGCACATCACATTGTAGGACAGCTTTGCTTAAAACCTTGATATTAACTGTTGGAGTTAACCTCGTTTGTTGTCTTATGAAACAGTGGTTGAATTTTAATGAAACTTAAAAAAAAACTAATATTGACTGTACAGTACTGTTTAACTTTTGGAGAGAATCCAACTCAAGGTAGACACCAAACGGTGCTTCTACTCATCACTAGGCCTGTCGCAATAAACAATAAATCAATTAATCGTATAATAAATGAAAATGATCAACCTCATTTTCATTTATCTGCTTTATCGTTTCTTCGTCTCTGAAGACTGGTTGACAAAAGGCTCTACTCCGGTGCTCTTCACTGACCCCCTCCCTTTTTTTTTCTCTTTAAAATCAATCCAAAATCGCGTTTTTTTAATCATTAAAAGCAGCTAAGCTGAGAAGCTAAGCTACGAGCTAACAGGCCGACCTCGGGGGAAAAAACCCTCCATCTTGTCAAAGCTCCAAAATT